CTATTCTGTAATGCCCCTAGAACTAAGATCGTCCTTAAAATTTTTCGTGAAATTTCAAAAACTTGCAGAAATTTCACTGAAATCTCCTGCAATTATAAAATAACTATAGAAATTTCATAAAATATTACGTAAGAAAGAGAGAAACAATGTTGCCAATTTGCTGGATCCGCCACTAGCGATGATTTTTGGCATCTCGGCGTTATTTTTCGCGCTTTTTGTTCGGATACTGGCGAGTGGCGATTCAGGTCCGAAAGCGCCGGGTGATCGAAGTCAAAGGGACGCTTTCAACAGTCCGACACCACGGGAAATAATCGTGTGGGATGGTGAATTTCGCGACTAAATCCCGGCGGGAGGTGTGAGTTGCCCTTTGGTGCGGTTTGAAATTGTTCTCAGAGATCAGCCGAACTTCCGCGAAACGGCTCGCAATTCGCGGAATCGCTGCGCTGCGGATTAATATTTACTAATTTTCCCGACCCCCCTCACAACCCCCCTNNNNCATTCCCTTCTGCCCTCTCTATCTCTTCGCTCTTGAAATAAAGTCGGGATTGTGGTCTCGCCAAGCCTATGATTAAAGGATCCATCGTAATAAAAGCTGTTTGTATTCTGCCGTACTGAGCAAAAACGCCGTATGAGCCTTCAGGCGTTGCCAAATTTCCTTCGACAAACCACTCATTTTCAAGAAAATGTGTGCATATTTTGCTTCCAGTTTCTCAGATAGTTTTGTTCGTAATTTGATCTAAAAAGTCTGAAAATTTCAAGGAAAAATATTGATAATTGTCCTAAAAATAAACATTTTACCGGAGGAAACTTGGCAACTCTCGAATGCCGATACGGCGTTCTTCCTTAGCACAGCAGTATTCCGTCAATGCCGCCCGCCGATCTAAGGCCCGTCGCAAAAATCGTCGCTCCTGTGACGTAAGAGCGTATCTCGATTTTCGCAAGAGCCCCCGAGAGCATACATCTATATGTAAAACAGGGATCACGTGGAAATTGAGTTACGCCCTTAAGACCGAGAGGCGACGAAATATCTAATTTTACAACGGAATCGGAGAACGATGTTGAGTGACTACGGACGATCCGTCAATCCCGTTGGGCAGTTCTCTGTTTAACATATTACTTTTCCTCGGGTTAAGGCTTATCGACGGAACTCACACAGTCTAGGCCATGGTTAGAATTAAAAGCCTAGGCTCGGGAAATATCTGCCCCGTTGCAACAAATGATACGATTGCCAACACTAGAGGGAAAATTAGTTTATCACTATTTGAAGTTTCCTAGAGCGAAGAACGCATCCGCTTTGCAACGTTGCAAAATTTCAACTCGTTGATTGCATTTTTACGAGGATATTGTTAGGAGTTTCCAACTGAACATTTCGCTGACCATCCTTCTAATTACATTGAAAAATCAACAAAATTTTGGACAAAAAATGAACATTCGTGTTTTTTTAAAAATTTGATTGTTGGATCACGTTCATTTTTTTACAACAAAAAATACAATTAAACGTTCATCTTCTCAAAAATAAATGAACGTTAAAGCAGCCACATTGATAGTTTTATTATATATTTGAAGTACTGCGTTAAATATTGACCGTTATTGCTTTGAATGCCGCGGTATGTTTGAGATGATATGTTTGTTTGTATTAAAAATATACTTTAGCGAGGTGAGCTTTTAGAGCTAAAATTTCAAAAAATGTGATCACCTCATACAATAAGAAGCGCCGACGCTCTAAAATATATTGCCTATGAACGGAGTCTCAAATATAATCATTTAAAACGCAGCCATTCAGCCGTAAAAAACAGAATTGCACCTACTGTGCAATTATATATCACAGTGAAAATTTAGAAGAGACCGTCTGAAATCAATGGCAACATAGAGATGGCAGGCGGGATGATAATTATGCTTGCAGCAATCACTCCAATAAATTAACAAGTATCAATTATGCATCACCCTGTTCATTGCTTCATCGTTTTCTCATTAGCATCCCGCGAAGAAACTATTTGAACTACTCTCTCTGCTGTTGCAAAATTAGAAGTTAAAAGGGTTGACTTCAATTCATTGGACTACAATTCGTAACCACGTATGTACCGTTAATTTCCATGTGTAATACGTGTTTTTAATGATGAGCCAAAAATTGTAGTTCCTAATTGCAAAATGAAGTACAATTTAATTTTGGGTTCGTGATACAACCACGGTAGAGGATCCCAAGAGGTCAAAACGTAAGAGACGTTCAAATTTTCAGAGAATTTTACTAATAACGCAGGATTTATGCTAGTATCACAAGCTCCATGCGACGTTTCACAATTTCCGCCGCCATTGTATTTTTTTACAGAGAAGTTGTTCAACGAGGCTGTCCGAAAATTTCACTGAGTGCCAAATTTCACTTCAATTTGAGCTGCCGATAAAATTCAGTGAAATTTTCAAACCGATTCAACCATCGATTTCTCTGTAAAAAATAAAATAACGGCGGAAATTTTGAAACATCGCATGACGCTTGTGATACTTTGGCCGGAAGGTGACGATATGTGCTTCCTTCCTGTATAATGAACGGTAAATAGTTCCGGATAATTTGATTCCACGGGCTGGCCGCCCTCCTCGGCCCTGAAAGCTCCATGACCTAACCTCAAAATTACCCACTTGTCCATACTCGTATTTTCTCCCCATATGGGAACTCTACTTGGAGATGGAAGGAAGTTTGGCTGGCCGGGAGGTTGGGTCCGAAAGTAGTTCATCATTTATTTACTGGCTCATTGGAGACCCTCGGAAAAGGGTGAGGGGGGGGGGGCATCTCGGCCTGAATCCGGCTCTCATAATTGTCAAACAGCCGGGCGTAATTACCCTGCTCCTGCTCCACGCGGACGCGAAATGTGGCGGCCGTGCTGCTAATAATCCGTCGCTTGAATAATGGTCACTACGCTGCTCGCATCGGAACTTCCGTTCTCGCCGTTGATCGCCGCTTTGCACTCCCACGCTCCCGTGATACGGAAAAACGCCGTATAAACCAACAGGCGTTGCCAAATTTCCGTCTAAAAAACACTAATTTTCGAGAAAATTTGAGCATATTTTTCTACCAATTTTTCAGATAATTTTGTTTGTAATTTAGGTTAAAAGGTCTGAGGATATCGAGGAAAAGTGTTCATAATTCTTAGGGGGAATAACGATTTTATGAGGAGAGATTTGGCAACTCTGGGAGGCTCATACGGCGTTTTTCCTTAGCATGGCAGCGCGGCTCCCGGCTAATTGGGCCATGATCGGGGTGCCCACTTTAAATTATTTACACTCTGTCCCGACTCCCGAGGACGCCGATGGAGGTCCCGGCTCCGCTAATCGCCCTCAAAACGTCGCTCCCGGGCTGATCTACCGCGCTAAGGAAAAACGCCGTACGAACATTCGAGAGTTGCCAAATTTCCTCGGATAAAACATGCATTTTTCACTGAAAAAAAGTTCGGTAGATCCGAACTAGTTAGGATCATATGGAACCACGATTTTGTTCGGTACACACGATCAAATTATTCGGTCTGCTCAGCCGAACTATTCGGTCCACTGAACCGAAATGTAAGAATTTATTATGGTTCGGTCGCACAAACCGAACAATTCGGTTGAACAGACCGAATAATTCGGTTGTGTGTCCCGAACAAAACTTGGTTCGATATGATCCTATCTAGTACGGATTTACCGAACTTTCTTTGTCAGTGTTGAGGGAAGTTCTGCACATTTTTTCTTGAAAGGATTTTTAAGATTAAATTGCGAGGAAAATTGTCTGAAAAATTTGGAGAAAAATATTCCCAATTTTTCCTGTAAATCCGTCCTTTATTGACGGAAATATGGCAAACCTTGAAGGCTCATACAGCGTTCTTCCATAGCACGGTAAGAATGGAAAAGTGCGTTTCTCCACGGACAGACGAGGCTCCACGGTGTTCAGGGTGGTATTCATGGCGAGAAACAAGTTCGGACGCGACGCGCGATTTTTGTTCCCGCCGCCAGAACCGTGGCGCAAAATTTGAATTTCGATATTTTTGTGGACTTCGCCAAAGACCAAATTGTGAAAATAAGCGGTTGGCATCCTCTCCTCTCATTTTTTTGTCACTTAGACGAAAGAACGCCACTTTCAATGCTACCAAATTTATTTTTTCAACTTTCAATTTTACTCGGAAATTATCGAACATTTCCTAGTAAAAATTTCACAGACTTATCCATGGACGGTCGGTCATTTTTGTAAAAAGAAAAGAGAGAGAAAAAAGTATAGGTAGGTTTCAAGACCTTCAAATGGATTTAAGTTTCTTCGTAAGGTAAACTACGATATTTCCAAAAAATTAGACTTTTATCATAATCATTTGTTCCGGATAGTTCGCCATGTGGGCCGCCATTTGCAATAAGGAATTACACTTCCAAGCTCATCCGTAAAATCACCCGCCAGTAAAAGGAAACTACCGCAAAGGAACAAACCGCCACCTTCCGGCAAAAATATCACAAGCTTCATTTGCTCATATGTGCTGGTTACACGCTCAAATTTCCATCAATTTCCAATCAAATGGTGACTGGTGCGCACGCACCATCTACCATCAAATTTCTGCGGCCTGCAAAAATTTGATGGTAGATGATGGAGCTGTGGGGCTCATCCTTCATCTGATTTCCACACAAGCGTGCTTATTTCAATCAACACGCTGTTTCAATTAATTTTACTCATCAATCTAGGGAACTCTCGACCGCCATCTTGGTCATCATTTTGATCGGAATTTGACGGAAATTTGAGCGTGTAACCAGGCCACTAGACTCTATGTTGCCTATTATTGATTGAAAATTTGTGTTCACATTCTCGTAAAAATTTCAGGGGTTTATTTTAATAATTAAAAAAATGCTGGGTAGAATTTTTAAGTGATTCTAGTAATTATTTTTCGTGAAAAATTAAACAACTTCGAAAAAATTAACAACAAAGTGTAATCGAAAATGAGTCAGAAATAGTAGTTCCTGATTGCAAATGCGGTCCCTTTAATATACTCGCAAACCTGATCAAGACGTAGATAAACACAACCGCGCTCGAAAACCCGCGAGAGCATCGACGGAAAAAACACGTGTCCGGAAAATTCTTAATCGTCACAGGGGAGCGTTTATGCTCGACTGGCGGGAAAAGCTCGCGCTCGGGCGAGTCGGCGAGACGGTGACGTCAGACGGGATTCCGAAGTCGGCGACGACAAGGTGACCGCCAGGTGGTGCGACGGGGAAAGTCGATGCCAGTCAGACGAGGTGGGAACACGGTCGCGAGGGTGAGTCGCCCTCGCCAACATGCGAGGCTGTTGAGGCAGCGATAGGTGAGCTCGAAAGCTCATTGTCGCCGGTATAATGGTAATCGATGATTGGAGGTCTGGGACAGGGGTGTGAAAACTTCCAGTGGCGTGGCGCGCTTTGCGATATATCGATTGATCGGCCATTTGAAACTATGAAAAAGTATCGATAAACAGGGTGTTCGCAGCGAACACCTTAATAATCGATTATTTACCACAGTTTTAAATGGGGAAATATCGATACATCGCAAAGCACGCCACGCCACTGGAAACTTCTCGACCACGCGACCGGGCGGGTCGAGGGTGAAAATGGGATCGAGGACCCCGGAATCGGTGTTCCAAAATGGAAAAAACGAAAAAAATGCGTTGCGGAGAAAAAAGTGTCATCTTGAAATTGTTATACAGGGTGGCCCAGACTTACCGTACTAGGTCTTTTTTTCGGTTAATTTATGGGTCGCACGAAGTCCAGGATCGCGGGGATGAATAAGGAATCGACCCCAAGGAATCCGATTTTCATGGTCCCAGAGCCCCCCTGGCGCCCCTTGGGGGATTGAAAGCAGGGTTCGTACTTCAAAAGTCAGGGTTTATGTCAAAATTTTGAAATTATTTCATCGGAATCAGAACGTAATTAACGTAACGGAAATTTTTAACTTAAAAACACACCAAGAAATCCAATATCGGTCCATCCGTGTCCAAAATACCCACCCCTAAAGTCGGGGGACAGAGCCCCCTTTCAAATAAATTCAAGTTCGTTAAATTGACGAGGAGACTCGGAAAAAATGTGTACTAATGAGTAATCGACCCCAAGGAATCCGAATTTGAGGGTCCCGTTGTCCTCAGAAACTTTTCTGATGGGGCACAGGGGTGACCTTCACACCGGTTAAATTTAAAAGTTCAGAGTCCCCTGTGCCCCATCAGAAAAGTCACTACTAAATTTGTGTGTTCTTGTGTTACTTTTGGTTGATAGGAAGTGACACACAAACCAACACAAATTTTGTGTTGATTTTTATACAGTTTGCAGTGTATTTAGCGCAGAAAATAATGGAGGAACTGGGAAAATGCGTTCTTCTGATTCCCCATTGCACTTATCTCTTGTCTTTTTATCAAATTTCGGCAAGAAAAATAGCAGACATTTCCTTTTGAAATTGCCAACCGAGGGCTAAGGTTATAGATGTATAAATGTTCTTTAAATCTAATACTTACAAGAATATTCGAGCATGAGCTTTGATAATGGACATTGCTTAAATTTTGAAAAACAATTAAATTATACCTGAAACAGAATAAATAAATAAATTGTATTCGAGGAGATGAGATATGCATTGATGTGTAGAATTTTGGGTGGATATGTAAGTATTTCATTTCTCACGGGGACACAAAGTCCCGATTGCAACGTCACTTTTCATCAAATAATTATCTTTAGCGACTGCATTACTCGTTTACCTACGTGCATACTGTGCTATACTGTTTATAAATATTTTAAATGATACAACTATTCGGCCTCCGGTGCCACGCTAGGAGGTATCTTTCCATATGAAGGCGTGTTTTATTCTGCCGTCCTCAGCAAAACCGTCTTAACTCCACTCCAATGTCTTTATTTTTTTCCAGCACGTACTGCTCTCTTACAAGACAACGTAATTACCCTCAATTTTTTCATTTTGAGTTCTTAAAGGTGTGCCAGAGTTGTATCGGAAACGATATTCGTTAGTTTTTTTGTAAGGCAGCATTTTGTCAGAAAAAAATTGAAAAAGTGTCGAAACGGCATTTTACTGTGGACGGCAGTATACGTCGTTACTCTTACTGGCACATACGTCTTAACGGAAAGTGTGTCATTGCGTATTAATGGACACGTTCAAAGACATAAATGCCGAGTTAACTGAACCACTCACTACTATATTCATTATTACTTGAAAATTTGTGTTCACACATTGGAAGAAAAAAAAACACATTGGATCTAGAGTCCAGACTCTTAAAAACATCGACAAGAAAAAATACTCTTGATTCAATCAGATTCAAGCTAAAATCAAGAACCAAGCCTCTTAATTTGAGCGGATTTCCTTTTGATTTAAGCTTAAATCTGATTGAATCAAAAGTCCTTTTTCTTGTCAATGTTTTCAAGAGTCTGGACTCTAGATCCAATGGGTTTTTTTTCCTAGTGCTTCTAAACTTTTTTGCGACTTATTCACAAAAATATAAACTTCGAGAGATTCCACAAAGCGTTTGACCTCTCCCATTGAGTCGATCCTGTGTACGGCGTGCCATAATATTCTCGCCACCGTGTAAACAGGTCTTAATCGCTCACATAATTTTGAGGTTATGGTCTTGTTGATGTCCAGATTAGCCGCCCATCGAGAGCAATAACTCAGGATTTGACGTCACATCTATAAATATAATTAGCACACGGCGCGGCCCGCGGTCTCGGTGGCGGACCCGTCAAGCGGTGACCCAAATTATGTGCCCGCGGCCCGAAAACGGGAGTCCGGCACGCGACGGGGGGCGAAAACGCGCGCGACCTCCGACACTGAACTGGGGAGGAGGGGAGGCGGGGGGTGATAGATGAGTGACGCGTCTTGGAGCTTTTGAGGGTGGATCTGGCCGGAGCGCAAGCAAACATCGAGATATCGAATGTTGAGAGTTGTGTCAAAAAATTAAGGATCAATATTCGTTCCACCAGCTTTCTTGTAAAACAGCATTTTGTCAGAAAAAATTGAAAAGAAATTGAGTGGAGATACGACGTTTTTACTATCAAGTTCAGCGAACATTGTATCACACAATGTCTAAGAGGTCGTACCACTGAATATATTTGTATGGAGTGTAGCCAACCGCTAGAAACAATGTAATATTTTCTTCAGCAAAAAACTCACATTTTATTAATAAACTTTGACCGAAGCTTTTCGAAGCAAGCGCTTCATCGTCAGGGTCACAAAGTATACATCACAAAGGTCATAATTTTGGTAATTTTAGACAAGGTAACAGATTTCAGTGGTAAAAATTGTTAACAAATTAACAGTAAAAAAAAAAAAACAAAAAGTTTTTACTTCGGACGGCAGAATACCGGTTTCACTTTAAACTTTCAGAAAAAACGGATTGATTGCGGCTGAAAGCACATTTCAATTAGACATACGAAACATGATTTACTAAAAATCTGTTTTCGTAAGAGCAGAGTTGCTCCTAAAAGTATGCGAACGCGCAAATCAACCGTATTTTATTTGAATGCTCGAATGCACTGATTAGGGTGGAAAACAATTGGAACAATTCATTTGGAAAGAGGGTTGAGGGCACTTAACTTAAAATTTCTCTTATTTTGTACCGCCCTTTTCCAAAAAGTTCCACCTTTCATTGGAATATTTGAGATTCAATTTAGATATGACACTGAAAATTCCAACAGGTGAAAAGTGGAATATCCTGTATGTAGACCTTAAATTTGAATGAGATTTTAACATTTAGGGGTTATTTTTGCAAAGCAAGTTCCGGGAAGGCTCTTGAATCCCCTATACATCTAATACGTTCAAGCGTATCTTCCGAACCTTCTTTTCTAATTGGCCTCCCCTGTCCCTCTATGGCCTGTATTTGGAATTCATAGGCAGATCCAGCAATTTAACAACAATTTGACGGATTTTCTCCATTTATAGCTGTGCTAAGTAATCGATTCTTCCCGGAGCACCTGACCCCTCCAAGAATCGATACATTTCCATAGGTTTAAACGGAGAAAAAAAAATGTTGCCAATCTGCTGGATCCGCCACTGCCGCCAAAACAGAGACACAAAAATGAGGTGTAAAGCGACAGGAAAATATTGTCAGTCGGGTGGCTGGCGTTATCGACCCTGACGGCGGATGAACGGTTGCCGTTTTGCGTTAGATCATCACGTAGAGAGTCATGTATAAAGAAATAATATTTGTATTTTCTCGAAAATAGGCATCACTGGAATAATGAATGATGTCGACCTTGCAAAGCCCCTCTCCCTCTCTCCGCGTCAGGTGTGGGGTAATAATCACCGAATTTCATTCTTTTTATCGATTCCTCCTTTGCACTTTCCCCACCTAATGACCCTGGCAGACAAACGGGCTTCGACCCACTGCTCGCAGCTCAAACGTTTCTTCATTCCTACGATGAACCAGAGGAAAAGGTACGAATCCGAAACATTCTGATACGTTTTACTTAGCCAGATTTTCAGAATTTCGTAAAACACAATGGGTCTGGTGCATGCAAGAGATTCGGCCAACTGAATACATTTTTTAAGGGTAAATTCGCTCGAAAATCACGTGGGGCACATCAAAAAGTCTGAAATCCGCTCCTTAGTGCGAAATCTGCGTAGTTTGTAACACGCTTTTTCAAGTTTCTTGCGACTGGGGGCAGTTTTTCTCAAACACCGCCGACCAGGTTTGAGTAACGTAACGAGACTCAGCTTGTTGCCACTTGCCAAGATAGTTCAGAGGCATTTAGCGTGAGGCGACGGCAAACCAAAACGCCTTCAATTAACCGTATAGGCATACTGAGCTCCCAGGCGGTCGAATAATGGTATCACTTCTTACAGCACATATTCTAAGATTTTGTATAACCTTGTGGTTTGTGCTGCTGACCACGCAGACGAGTAAAAAATAACTACCTGAAGTACACAAACGATTAATTAACTTTTTCTGTTGTATAATTTCATTTTGATTTCAAACGTGTGTTTCCTCTTTCTTTCTTTCTTTTGCAAAAACAAAAGCTTTGAAGCCGATTTCCTTTAGACAAATCACTTTTGTGAAAATTTGTGCAAATTGTTCTTCCAATTCCTCAGATGATTTTGTTCGTAATTTGATCGAAAAAGTCTAAACATTTCAAGGAAAAATATT